ACTTTTATAGTAAATGCCAAGCTTCCCTGCTTGCTCAGAGCTGTGTCCTGGCCCTCGGTGCTTTCCTGGCCACCAGAAGGGATGGCACAGCAGAGAAGTCTGCAGCACCAGTACCTGTATCACACTGCACCAGCAGTGCATGCTGAAAGGTGACCGCGTCTGGGAGTCTCACATCTAGAACAAGTGTTTTACTAGAGCAGCTTTGGAGAGTTGATGCTTACCCCCTTCTTTTTTATGATTTTTTTCCTCCAAGAACCATTCTTTCACTTCACTGGGTACCTTGAGGAATGTGTTAGGCTGGAGGCTGGCTGTGCACTTTCGAGCTTCAGCCAGTTTGAGGATTTCTCAGTAAGAGGGGGCAAGAGGGTCGTCCATTTTCCAGTTTTACTTGGGTGTGATGGTCTGCAAAATCTTCAGCTGCTACAGCCCTCAAATTCAAGCCCTGAGTGAATTCATCCTTGTCTTTGTCTGGTGAATACGTTCATACACTGCTCACCTTGGCTTTGCCACCTGCCAGCTCTGGAGCAGAGTTCATTGGCTTGCACTGTAGACTCAAACTTCATGGATTACTTCCTCCAAGTAGCGCTAGTCATAGAGATTTGTGAGGGGAGAGCTTTGACGCAGGGCTCGCTAACCATCAGCTGTTTGCAGTTCATCAGGTAGCAGAGCGCGTGGAGGCCCTGGGCCAGTTTGTGATGAAGACCAGGAGGACCCTGAAGGGCCATGGAAACAAAGTTCTCTGTATGGACTGGTGCAAAGACAAGAGAAGAATTGTGAGCTCTTCCCAGGTACGCTGTTGGGCAGCTGTTTTCTAAAGCTAGTGTTGGGCACGATACAAATCTTTTGGCTATGCTAAGTGCCACTGTTTGCAGATGATACCTGTGTACAGTGTAAATGTTTTCAGGATGCCATTAAAGCAGTTCGTTGGCAATGTATTTGTTTAGAGAGCATAAATCCAAGATCATCACTACACCTGTTGTAGCTAATACCCTAAATATTTCTTGTCTAATCATATATAGGTTTTCCCCATAATCCGTACTTAATAGAAAATAGAGCTCATCTGAGGCCACTTTTATTTCCTTGTTGTTTACAGATAAAATATTTAGTAACTATATCAGTTTATGTGTTCAGAGAAAATAACCAGGAAAAGGGAAGGGTAAAAAAGAGATTTCTGTGCACAGAGATTTCTTCTGCAGTCTGATTACTGCAGCCTTGAGAGCATCAAACATCCTGCCAAATTTACTGCTTTTACTTGGGCATGTTGAGAAACAGTCCTAACACCTGCTCCAGACCAGTCTCATGACCCGGAGGAGGTGATGAGATAATTACTTTCTAGATCCCCTGGTTCGTCCTGAGCCCAGTATGGCAGTGAGTGAGGTCGTTGCATCTCACAGCTGTTCATTGACCTATATGAAATCTGTCAGGGGTCTCACTTGAGGGATAAAAATAGGCAATCTGCATTGCAAGCCACCTTCAGTTACTGCGAGTTTTTACCATTCATGGTGATCCCAACACAGAGTAATTGTAAATAACTGATGTTTTTTGAAGTGGTTAAAATGCCAGTGTGCAGATCAGAAAGCTGAACAGGCAAATTGTAATGCAGTTTTGCATTTTTCACTCTATTTAAGAAGTATAGTGAGTCCAGGTACACCAATAATTGTTGCTCAGTAATAAACTTTTTGCTTTTGTGATACAGGGAGGATGACAATATTATGTCCATAAGGCATTATGTGTGTAGCTGCCATGAGTGTAGCTGGCGTACACAAAGCGTTTGTGTTGCTCTCTGTGGAGGGTCTCACGATGGCTATTTAGCAGATTGTATCAATGGATAATTGAAGGTTAAGTAAGTGTGGTGAGAAGACCAGGAAAATACAGGAAAGGGAAGATGAATAAACTGCACAATGTTCATAAATAGTCCCCATGAGTGATGCCAGTTCAACAAGTGAGTTCTAACACAGGCCACCTCTTGTGTTTGTAACACTCTGTACTGGTCCTGCCCATCCTGCAAGTGAGAGGATTTCTCATAAACCCACCAAAAGGGAAGGAGGTGAAGGGGAAGGAAATAAAAAAAAATCCATCTTTTAAGCCAACATGAGTCATCTCAGTGAGGAGGAAATACACCTTTCTTCTGGTCAAAGACGTAACTGGCACTACTGAGGAGCGTCTCCTTGGTGCTTCACTGTGACCATTGTTCTGTTAAAATGGGGCCAAAAATTTCATGACATAACAGACTGGGGGATTGAATTGAGCAGCAGAGTTTTCCCAAATCTGGGAAGCAGATTGACAGCTATGTCTCTGGAAGGCCTCAATTTCTCCCTCTGTGTGCTTTCATTTAGGATGGGAAGGTGATCGTGTGGGATTCCTTCACTACCAACAAGGTAAGTGAAACTTCAGCAGAAGTCTGATTTCTGCGCACAGGGCAAATGATGGTGGGATAAAGATGCAGGGCTGAAGGGCTCACGGGTGTCGCAGGAGGCAGCAGGATGATAACATAACATGCAAACCTGCACCAGCACATCAAACCAGGGAGCCCAGGGCAAACCACCTCCCTTGACCTGTCTCTGAGCAAAGTCCCTCTCAGGGTGTGGGAGTTTGCTGTGGTGTCAGTGGGAGGCTCTGATTCAGTCTCTTTGCTGGCAGGGAGGGCTCCCAGCTTGGGGCAAAGCCCTTCCAGCAAAGCAGAGGCCCTCCCTGGGTAACCCTGTACAAGGTGCCATGAGTGGTCACTTGGGATCCTTCAGCTGTGGTGTTCACTGTGCAATGGTGCTGCTGCTCCTCCAGCCCCTGCCAGGGCTGCCTCCTGGCTCCTGCTCCACACAGCTGAGAAAAACAGCTTGTTTGTAACTCACTTTTACAGTGCAGCAGTGGGACCTTTTACAGCACTGAATAACCCAAATAAAACATGCTCTTTGGTCAGGTTGGGGTGCAGGAATAAGGTGGCAAGTGTCAGGACTGGTCATCCTGCTGAGTTCTGCATAAGGGCTGTCCCAGCTGTACATGTGAGTTATGGCTGGGAGAAACACCTGTACCTTTCACTGACCCTAAGGATGTCCCACACAAATAATGAACTTGCTACTCTACACTGTTTTCTTTGCACTGATTAGAGAAACAGTGACATCCCAGTTTAAAGAGATGCTGTGTTTCAGGAACATGCAGTGACGATGCCGTGTACCTGGGTGATGGCGTGTGCATATGCCCCCTCTGGATGTGCCATTGCTTGTGGGTAAGTTCCCTCTTCCCACAGCTGCTTACACAAAGAAATTTGATTGGTAGTGGTATCCTCGTGCCTTTGGATGCTGACAGGTAGAAGTTTGAGTGCCTTGATTTTGGGTGGAAGGACTACATTCAGTGCCTCTGGTTCTATTCCCGTAATGGTTCATACACATTATCTCCACTGACTTCAGTGCAATAACATTTGTTGTGTAAGCGTGGAAAATAATCCTCTTTCAGCATTTATATCACGGGTTAGGAATTCTGCATGCATGCAACTTCTCTGTTCCAGTTTGGTCGTGTGTTGGATGTATCTTCTAAGGGAGAGAGGTTTTAACCCTGGTCTTACTTTGCACTTTTTCTTCTATGACATAGACATTAGTCATGAATGATAACCAGCATGTGAATAGATCTTGCCAAGATGGGGTGGGGAGAAGTAGCCTGATCCTTGATAATCTTAAGTTTTCTGAGGATGCAGGTTTGAAAATATTGAGTTTATGCAGGGGAGGAAATAGAGATGAAATGTTGGCAAAACATCTTTTAATTAGAGACTGGGTGGATCAGACAGACAAAGCAAGCTTGGGGCTAGAGAAAGGAACAAAGGGAGACTTCACTGTGCAGCTTGCAAACCCAGAAAGCAGCAGGCTGAGACAGACAGGCTGACTCCATAAATGCGTGTGGAGAGGGAGTCCCCAAACTGGATGGTTTTGATTGAATCTCGAAGAATGGCAAGAAAGCTCAGTCTTCACACTTGCAAGAGAGACAGTGAGGGCAAGCATGCTAATTCACTACCTAATTCTCTCTTTCTATTGTCCTCTCAGTTACGTGCTGTACACTTAATAAGGCACGGAACCAGCAATGGTGGTGTGCTGGGATCCCAGGGCCAGGGCTGACCTACCATGGCTCTAGAAAGGGGTCAGGCACAAGACAGACCCTTTAAAAAGAGTCCTGTATTTGGCCTGGGAGACATGGCTTAACTGGTGCAACTGTCCAGGAGGGACACGCCAGCTACAGAGGCCAGCGCTTCTGCTAAAAGCCCTGTCTTCACACACACTACTTGCTATACCATCTCTTCCATAGGAGATAGGTCAAATTTATGAAGGTAGTTTAATGCTGCTTTAATACTGATGCTCGCGGTGACAGATGTCAACAGAAAGCCGGCAGTTTGGCTCTATGTGAAACTAACCCTGAGGTGACTGCTCAGTCACCTCCCGGGTTATACTTTGGTGAGGTTTCATTCAGTGCCATTTATAAACTCCACGAGGGTCAGAAATGCCGGGCGCAGCTGTTGGAGTCCTGTAAAGCAGCCAGCCTGGTGGGGCAGCTGGGGCTTCCCTGCGCAGGGAGATCCCGGGCAGCACAATACAGGGAAGTCGGTACTTGTAAGGCTTTGGCAGCGCAGCACCGACAGGTGGTTTCCTTCTTATCACCACTCGCCTTTTGTTGTTGCAGTTTTAACCAGATCTCCTCTCTCTGTTATTGCTATTATTACTCTCTGTAGTGGCCTGGACAACAAGTGTTCTGTGTATCCTCTGACATTTGACAAAAATGAAAATATGGCTGCAAAGAAGAAATCGGTTGCAATGCACACAAACTACTTGTCTGCCTGCAGCTTCACTAACTCAGACATGCAGGTAAATGCATTCCCTACCCGCTGCTCGCTGTCCAGCAACACCTAACATGAGCTGCACTCATACACGCTGCATGTAACCTTCCTTGCACCCGGGGCACCTAGGGCCATGTCCTGTCGCTTCCGCAGAGGGAGCTCACTGGTACCTGCGTGTTCTCTGCTCACTGGGTCTGTGCTGGCATCTGCTTTTAGGAGTTCGAACTGACATAAGTAGTTAAAGCCCCAGTTTCATCAGGACTGGGTTGGTATGTGCTATGCCAGCCGATGGAGACCGTGTTGTTTGCCTGCTTTGTCCTGGGCATCCAGCCCTCTTCTGCTTGCATTCTTAGTACTTTTTGTTAAGCGAGATATTTGAGGTCGAGGATAGCCCTGTAGGGCCAGCCCTGTGGTCCGTACGTGCAGTGGTGTGTTCCCTCGAGGGAAAGGAGTGATGCTGCCCTCATCTCTCAGTGGGCAGGGTGGAGCAGAGAGGCCTACCATGGGAGATGATGGCAAAGCCAAGAGCTAAATGCAGATCTTTAGAGACCAGGCCAGCTTTCCTCTATAGTGAATATCAAAGATATCTTTCTCCAGGAACACAAAAGATGATGAAAGGAGCCAAGATAACTCCCTGTCCTCTCTGGTTTTTGAATTTCATTGAAGCTCTGCTCAGTGCAGCTCTGCAGCAAAATAAGTGGCAGAAGGGAGCATTTTCATTGCTCTCTGTGTCAGCAGAGCTGCTGGAAAGGGAATAACTTGTCCCCTTCTTCCAGATATTTGGAGCTCTGCTGAAGGAAATATCAGCTTTCATTGCTTCTATTTCAGGACATGAGATGCCCGAGAGTATGTTGTTGTTTGTCATTCTGTGGTGTCTGTAATGACTCCGAGGTGCTAATTTAAGTCCATTGCCATGGATACAAGTGGTGGAGGTACCCAGCACTCAGGCTTGCTTAGCCCTGACCTTACTGTGCAGGAGCCCGGCGTAATTAGAGCAGTCTAAATTAAGTGTAATGGTTTTGATGAGACAGAAAATGGGTATTCTCTTTCCTTGTCCATATTGATATACATCATGATTAAATCCTATGAAAGGAAAAAGAATTATTTTTCATAGAAAAAAAAAGAAAGAAAAGTTGGGTCTTTTTTTTCTCCGTATTAAATACAGCAAACTCATTGATATTAGAGATTTTTCTAAAGACATTAAAAAGAAATTGTCTTGTGATCAATAGGCTTGTAAGTGATCATTTATAGCACTGCGTGTTGCTATTGAAACAAATACAAGCAAGTGGGTTGGCCAAACTTCTGTTAGAACAGTGTTATGTAGGGAATCCTAGAGAATCCCATATTTCTTATCTTTTCCCCGGAATTAAGGTTACTCAGTAACTCTGAGAGTGCACAGTGTAACAAGTGCACTGTGAAGGAGCTTTCCCAGCTGTGTGTGGAGCAGCTCTGTCCTCCTGGCTCATGTCACCGGGGGATGTGGTACCTGTGCTGGAGCAGCCCTAGCACATGGCAGAGGAGTCCCCTCCACCCAGCACCCACTGCTAGGTGCTGTGAACAACGCTGCTCTGCCGTGGCTGCCCTTGTAAACTACAGCTCAGTTTTCCCAGAGGAATGAAAGACAGGAGTTTAGGAGTTGGTGTGCCCGTGGGCATCTGGCAGTGCAGTGGAAAGAGAGATGTGTAATCGTTGATTAAAACCACTCTCGGGCTATGTGAGTGCTGAAAGATGGGGTCCCATCCTTGCTTCTCATCATGTTCCCACCTGGGCCAAGACAAGCACTGAGCTGCAGGGCTGGGTGACCTGCACCTTGTTCTCAGTGGCTGATCACCAGATCAGCCTTGCCAGAGAGAGCCTCCCCTCCCTCGGTACACAGAGAGCCTCGCTTCCTAAATAAGGTATGTGCGGCTCTGCGGTGTGATAATGCTCCCCACGTGACAGTGCTCCATGTGTATTAATAGCAACAGTTAATTGGGATCTCAAGTGTTTTGCATAGGGCAGGCGGACATACTGCCTGTGCAGCTGGGCTGAGAAGCAGGATGAAGCCTGTGGTGATGGCAGAGGAGGCAGAGGTGAGGGTGGCCCCTCTGCCCTCACCTCTGCTCCTAGCCCTGGAGAGCAGGGGCTGTGTCACTGCTGTCCCCTGCCCTGTGCAAGTGCTGCCTCTTGCCACCAGGCGCCAGGCGAGGATCCCCATCCCGTGCTGCTGGAGCCCCTCGTGCTGCAAGCTGGAGTCTGGTAGCAAAGATGGATTATTTCCTTCTGGGTTTGGATTTTTTGAGTTCTTTTGGTTTGGTTTTCAATAGCAACACCCTGAAGCTAAGTGCATAGCATTTCTCTTTAAGCATTACCCGGCGCTCTGGGTTGCCAGCAGACCCTTCCCTTACCCCTTCAGCTATTCCTGTTCCCCTCATATCTTTCTTACAAGAGCAGATCCTCAGAGCCAAGTACAGATATTCCTCAGAACAGAGGTTCATTGATCTAGGCTCAAAAGCTGGTCAGAAAGACAAGTCGTGACTTTCTTCTGCTATGATCATCTCAGAGTATTAGTGTCTCTACTGCGGGATTCGGAACAGCCTGTTCTGCAGCTTTGCAGACCTCTGTTTATGGGAGGAGTTTTTGGAGCATCTGTCAAACATATTCAGTGTTTAACCTTTAAGCAACTCTGTGAATGGTTTCATGATTGTCTGATCATTTTCTTCTTGACAAGTATTTTCTTGCTAATTTCTAAACACCCACTGCAACCCCTTGAGTTTTCTCAGTGACCGTGAGAAAAACCTGTGTACAAGACTGAGCGCTCTCCTGAGTTCACCCTTGCCTCTTTCCATGCCAGTGCACAGGGACTCTTTCAACCTACAGAATCTGGGATTGTATAACAGCTCTGGGTGCCAAGGGGGAGTTTTGAGCAATTGACCATCATCAGGATTTAGCCACAATAACAAGCACTGTCACATGTACTTTCTACAAGCACTGTAGCAGATGAGGGAAGCTGGGAGCTGGTTTTGGTCAGTGTATGTTCAAGCTCTTTCACACACAAATGGTTTTGGACAAGTGAGAGGCGATGGACTTACCAAACAACTGTCTAGACAGGCTTACTTCCCTTTCAGAAAATCCATGCCTTAAGCCCAATTAATTGAGTTTAACCCGGCTACTTCAAGCAGAAAAAAAAATTAAAACATTTAGGGAGTTAAACAGGTATACTTGACTCCAACAGTTCTCTTTACCTAGGTTGAATCACAGCAGCATAAATATGGATAGGGTTAAATACAGGGGCAGACAGGAATACCAGTCTGGTTCTACCTCCTTTTTGGAGGATATCCAAATGCCAGCAGATCATTATTGCCATTAGTTCTCCAAACCCACTGCATAAAACTGACCATTATTGAAATGCTATGAAGATAAGCTGTGTCAGTACAGCCCTCCTTTCCACTCTAACTTCTTTCCTTAAAAATAAAAACCATAAACTGTGCTTAGGTTTGCATTGATTTTATAGCTCTGATTTATTGCGTACTTCATTAAATTAAAGCTGTCCTTGGTGTGTGTATAGGATGTCACATGTTTCTTTGTGAACGTTGCAGATCATCTGCTGATTTTTGCATTGTGACTCTTCTTGCCACATCCTATAGATCCTGACAGCAAGTGGAGATGGAACTTGTGCTCTGTGGGATGTGGAGAGCGGGCAGCTTCTACAGAGTTTCCATGGTCATGGAGCTGATGTCCTATGCCTGGATCTGGCCCCTTCTGAAACAGGAAATACTTTTGTCTCTGGGGTAAGCAGGAGTTTCCTATCATAATATAAAATTAAGGAATGTGTAAAAGGCAGCAAAGCAGGAGGCTCATGATCTTATTGAGAGAGTGCTGGAGTATGTGTTGGAAGCCCTAGTGCAATCCACTCATTGCAAGCACATTTTCCAAGCTGGAGCAAATTAAACCCCTGAGTGTGGGGTCAAACCCACCCAGCCAGTCTGACTGCAGTTCTGCTTACTTAGCAAATTCTACCCCACACCAAAGCAATCCAGCCTGAGATCAAAACAACGCCTCTGCGGGGCAGGGAAAGGCTCAGAGTTAGAGCAGCGGGCTTGAACCACAGCAGAGGTGTGAGCCCCTGTGGATGGGAGCCTGGCACAGCAGATGACTTCCCACATTTGGCTCCTTTCTCATGTCCAGCTCTCTGGAGCCGGACAGGGTGTGCCAGGCGGCTGCTCAGGGCATCGAAATGGGGCCGCAAATAACATGCGTGCCACTGTCCTCCTCAACCACTCCCCAGAAGCCAAGAGGTAGCTTGGATGCTGGCTAAACCCTCCTACAAGTTGGAGCAAGGAGATGAGGTGTGGCCACATCTTCAGCTGTTGCTGGGTCCCCTGTGCCTTCCAGCGGTACCAGAGGTATTTAAAGACCTGTCATCGGTCGAACGCTGCCCGCTCCCTGTACTGGCCCAGAGGAACACACAACCCTTGCTGGGGCTGCAGGACTGGTCCGGGAAGGCACCCAGGGCATCTTCCACATCTTGTCCTGCTGCTGAGGGATCACTGATCCAGGCAGCTGAGCCATTGGCATGAAGCCTGGCAGTGAGGCAGGCAAGACGTAGGCGAACAGGATGGGGTCACCTCCTTTTTGAGGTGGTCCTGGTCTTTCCCACATCAGAAATAGAGTGTGCAGGTGAGAGCTGGCAGGAGCTGAGATGACCTCTCTCACAGGAGGCAGGTTACTACCAGTAATTTTGCTGAAGGTACCTGGTTTCTGAGCCCAACCAGCACTAGCTTGGGGCTGCTCCTGTGCTTGCTGATGGAAAAGGTGCCAGAGGGTGCAACCCATGGATTAGGGGATTCCATTTATGCTAGGAGTCATGGTCCCATCCCTGCACAATAAACCTGGGCCTCTTCTGTTCGGGCTTTTCTATCAAATTTGGCTGGCCCATCAGGAGCAGAGCCCAGCACACTGGCCCATTTCGCCTGCTGCTAGCACAGCTGCTCCGAAGCGTGACTGAAAGCTAATTCCATCCAAGTGCATTACTCCTCCCGGGCTTTCCTGTCACCAAGCTTGCTTCCTAGAAAGGATAGATTCATTCTCCCTGGGAACAGCTCAGCTTATTATAGGGCAAAGAATCACAAGCAGCTATGGTACTGCTGAGAGAATATGTCATACTTTGTAGATGTAGCAGCTTGGGCATGTCTGTGCTTACAGGGACTTGCTTAATTCACCACATGCAAAATACTACTTCAGTGAAGGTCTGTCTTATACTGTGTCAATGCAGGTAGAGCCAAAACAGTACAATCTGAAGGTATGGTGGCATAGAGAGACTCCCTTTGTATTGCGCCTATGTAATACAGTCACCATGAGCTGGAATAAACAATGCCAATACATCAGTGTGTAGACTGGGTGCTGTTCCATTTGGTGACTTAACTGAAAATCCCAGCCCTCCTGGGTGAGCTCAGGACTGCGTCCTGGGTTCAGTGTCCTCAGAGTGAGTTGGGTGGCACTCAGGGAGCCCACCTCTCCACAGAGATGGTTTCTCCTTCAAAACCTTAGGAGACAGATCACCAGCTTGTCAGATTGGTTTTACCCCCAAATTCCCGGAGAGATCAGGATGAACAGTGCACATGGAAGCAATACCAAGGGCTGGGCTTGGCCTGTGGCAAGGCTTGAGAGGCAAATATGCTGAGTCCAGAATGTTCTCTATCCTGTTTCATTTCCTCTATGCAGAAACCACAGGTTGGTACAAAGGAACATTACCTCTTTTAAATGACATCATTAGCAGAAAGCTGGGATTTCATTTTAACAAGAGAATTAAAAAAAACCGAGAGAGAGAAAATGTGAATTGTGAAGAGAGTCTTTAATTTAATTAGCAATCATAATTGCTTAAAAATAAATGATGTGTGGCATGGTCTGCTGGGCAAGACACATTCCCTTGGCAGAAGCATCAGTGTCCTGACCTACCCCATGCTTCCACATGCCTCTGAGAGTCTGAGCCTACCTACGGTCTGCCCCTCAGCAGGAGCACATCTATTAAAATCTCCTGTCCCTCTTTAGAGAAAAGCCTGTGTTCTTTTTCCTATCACCACAGTTGTGGCAGCAGTTCAGACACACAATTGAGACCAATTGAGACAGTTCAGACCATGACTCTTACAGGTATGAGATGGTTCCTGCCCTGAGGACGTTGCAGAGTACATGGCCTGAACCCCTTGCCCAAAGCATTCAGGGTGCTGAGCACCTCACAACAAGCACTGAGTGTTAAATGGTCTTTTCAAAGCATTGCTTGGAAGGCAGGTTAGAGTTTGACAATGAGTTGAAGTGCTGTTACGCTTCTTTTCTCATCTCAAGCATGCCATTGAGCAGTGTATGCAGAGCCACAGCAGGGGTTAACTCTGCTAGGAGGTTACGCAAGAGGCCCTCCAGATATACTTATTTCGTTTTCTATTTCAGTGTATGAAGAGAATTAGTTATAAAACTTTAAATGTTGTGTATTAATTTTTTATACTGGCTATGTTAAGTGGTAAGGGAATGAGTCAGTAATGCAGCTCTGTGGGATGGGCTGCAGACACGGGTACGGCAGCAGCACAGGCAGAGCAGGGCTGCGAGCGCTGGTTAGTATGGGGCTGCCTGCGCCCCCCCTGGCCTGTCTGCACCCCAGTGTTTCTGCATGGCAGTGCTGTGCCCTTGCTGGTCTGCAGCACTGCCGAGGCTCCAGCCTTTGTGGCATACTCTGCTCCTAACTGCGGCTGCATCAGGCTCCACGGTACCAGTACAGCCAGCTCTGGGGCGGCTTTGATGGTTAAATCCCCTCAGAGCAGTGGTGTTCCGAGCCTTTGAATGTAGCTGGGCTTGATGACATGTATGAGACACATGAGTGACGAATGTCTCCATTTTCACAACTGTAGTGAATTTTTTTGTCTTATTAGGGATGTGACAAAAAAGCCATGGTTTGGGATATGCGGACTGGTCAGTGCATCCAGTCATTTGAAACCCATGATTCAGATATCAACAGTGTCAGGTCAGTATGTTTCTGGGAGAGGACACGTTTGCAATGTTGAGCAATGTGCTGGTTCTATTTTTGAAGTCTGACCTCATCCAAGTAATGTAATGTGTTCTGGTCTTTTTTTTACTCATGCACAGATACTACCCAAGTGGGGATGCTTTTGCCTCTGGTTCAGATGATGCCACGGTATGTTAATTCAGCAACCTAATTTAGAAGAGTTCTGCTACTTCCCGAGTCCAATTTTCCTAAAAGAGTGGGTCACATCTACAGAGGACTTGTAAATATATTAATAAT